GATTTTCATGAAAATGTCTACCAAAGGATCAACATGGTTTAGTTCATTTTAACCAACATGCATTTTTCTAATAATATGATGAAACAAAAAAAAAAAAAAAAAAAAAAAAAGAAAAATTTGGGGGGGATTATATCTCAGTAAAAATAAAAACTAATAAGATTAGCCTATTTCTTTATTTTTGTAGTATCAAAATCAATAATAAATATAATTCTAAAAAGTATAGAATTTTAAAATATTGGTACAATAATTTGCAATTTATTGAGAACTTTATAGTAAAAGTCATTAACCGTTTTAATTTTTTAACTTAAAAAAACTGAATTGAATTATGGCTTCTACACTGTAAAATCATTTGTTCAGTCTGGTTGAGTAAGTTGTTATAACTTTCTTTTCACTTATAGGCAGTAGGATATTTTTTTGCTTATTTTTCTTAATATAAAGCAAATAATATACATTCAATGTTTTATTTGCCATATTATTTAATATCCACATAAAAACTCTCAATACAGCATGAACTTCTTAGTGTTGTTTAAAAGGTAATCTCAGTTTGATATATGTATTATATTGCTGAAGAGTAATTTTTTCTTTGATTTGATCAGAGTGATTTCTCTTCAAAATATTTTTTGTTCTGCCGAGTGTAAAGTGTACTTTAGATTATAGTTGCAACCTTGAGCTTCTGACTTAAACTTATTTCTATTTGAGTTATATTGCCCTGGGATTACCATGATTTATTAATTTTATAAAACTGCTCTGAAATTGGTTTCTGTATAAAAATATCTGCAAAATATATTTCTGTTCTCTTCTAGTTACAAACCTCATCTTTATATTAGAAATAGAAGTATAACTGAGATATTTGATAGCATTTGATGGAGGTCATTGATATTCAAAGTTTTTAAGTCCCCTACTTGCATCCCATTCCCAAACCAAACAATAGTATCCACCATGCTATTTATAAACAATAAATGGTCATAACTTAAAATATTTATTCATAGTCAATTTATTATCCTAATGTAGGGTAGTATATGCTCAAAGGGTAGATTAGAATTTATTAGGTTTATTTCTATTATTTGAAATCATTTAAATGAAAACTATATTAGTCTATTTACTTATTTCTTATGCAACAAATATCTATTGAGGGCCTACCATAAGCCAAACACTGCATTAGGATTGTTTCTGTGATTAAAACATTATAGAAAAGGCCTATATATTTTAAAGTATTATCTTTGTAAAGAATGGGGGAAAGTAAATTAAATGAAAATATTTTAATTCATAAAAATTCAACAATATTGTTTGGACACCTTAAAAAATCAGCCACAATAATTGGTGAAATAAATAAATAGAAAATGAGCAATGATATAGGAATCTTAAGTCATAATATTAACTGAATCAATACAAGTGGTATCTATAATACACTCCACTTAAAAAACAAACAAACAATTTTTAGGATAGAGAAATTGCTCTGCCAAAAAACAAGCCTCAAATATATATGAAAAATGAAATAAAAAAATGTCTGCTGTCCAAACGCAAAGGAATTTAATTCACAGAATAAAAGTGTTTCAAATTAATAGCATGTCTTTCTAACTTAACTATAAAACTAAGTGCAAAATAATAAAAGCAGGTAGAAAAATGAAAAATATTAGAGTGAAATAAATAAAATAAGAAAAGCAAAAAAATTAATAAAATAAAAAGTCTATTTTGTCATAACATAAAAAATTAACAAATCTTTACCTAGACTGGTCAGGAGGTAGGGTGTGAGGGTGGAGAGATTGAGCAAAAAAGAAAAAAAGGGAGAGAACTCATGGACATGGACAACAGTGTGGTCAATATGGGTGGGGGTAGAGGTTAAAGAGTGCATAGAGCAGGAAAAGGGGTGATAGAAAAAAGAAAAGAAGACATAGATTATCAAAAGCAAGAACAAAAGAAGTGACATTGATTCTAGTCTAGTCTAAAATTTTAATAGAACACTATTAACAACTTTTGCCAACAAATTAAACAACAATTATATATATGATTTCAGAGAGAAAGGCAGAGGGAGAGAGATAGGAACATCAATGATGAGAGGGAATCATTGACTGGTTGCCTCTTGCATGCCCCCTATCGGGGATCAAGCCTACAACCTCAGCATGTGCCTGAGGTCCTCTGGCCTGAGGTCCCCTGTCAAGCCCTGCCAGACAGAGGGCACAGCCTGAGGCCCCCCAGCACAGTGCCAAGGCGGGGGGAGAAGCCTGACAGGGAATGGAACCTTGACCTCCTGGTTCATGGGTGGATGCTCAACCATTTAACCACACTGGCCAGGCACAGCTATTTAAAATGGATATATTCCTGCAGAAAAGCAAATTAGCAAAATTCACTCAAATAAAATAAAATATCCAAATAGACCCATAACAGAAAAAAATAAAATAAACGTTAAAAATCTATCCACCGAGCCAGGAAGATTCACATATGAATTTTTTCAAATATTTAAAGAAGGAATGTTAACAATATTTCAGATACTTTTCTAAAAGATATATAAGTGGAAATAACACTTCTTAACTTACTGTAATACTAGTGTCCCAGTACCCAAAATTCATGAACAAAAAAAGGAAATTAATTAGAGGAAATATTTTAATATTGCTATTTGCCCATTCTCTACAATAGAAGTGTCAGAGATGAAAGAAAATTGGTAAAATGTATATGCAAATCTTCCTCCTCTCAGAATCTGGAGCACACCGTGGGACCCAGAGTCAAGTCCCCACCTACTCATGTGCACCTCGAAATCACATGAGACCCAGACCCAGCAGCCCCACCCCCATTGGATGAGATCCAGACCTGGCTGGCCCCACTCCCATCAAGCTCCGCTGGGTGGAAGGCACAGCCTCAGGCCCCCTGTCATGCCCCGCTGGGCAGCGGGTGCAGCCTCAAGTCCCCCAGCCTGGTGCCAGGTGGGGGGGTGCGGCCTCTGGTCCTCTGGTGCACCCTCAGGTCCCCTGGCCCAGGACTGGGGTAGGGGGTTGCAGCCTCAGGTCTTCAGCCTGGCCCTTAGGTGGGGGGACCACCTGAGGTCCCCTATCAAGCCCCACCAGGTGGGGGTGCAGCCTGAGGTCCCCCAGCCTGGTGCCAGGGTGGGGCGTGGTGTCAGGTCCCCCAGCCCAGGGCAGGGGTGTGGCCTGAGATCACCCATCAAGCCCCACTAGGCAGGAGGCACAGCCTCAGGACCCTGCCCCGGCTCAGTGCCAAGCAGGCTCAGGTCCCTGCTGATTGCTCGTTATGGCTCATTTGAGGAACCCCACCTCCATTGTGGGTGCAGCCATCTTGTGTTACCAGAACCCTGCCTCCACTGTGGGTGCAGCCATCTTGTGTTACCGGAACCCTGCCTCCACTGTGGGTGCAGCCATCTTTTGATGGTGTGATGGAGTGAGGGTCATTTTGCATATTACCTCTTTATTATATAGGATACCATCTTACCCCAACATAATAGCAACACAAAGACATTGCAAGAATAGAAAACTGCAAGAGAGGAACATTACCATCATGGTGGCATAAGATGTCTGAATTTGCTCCCACACTCAACAATAAATTTTCAGCACCTATACAAGAACAAAAGTGTCTTTGTGAGAGTTGTGAGATCTAGTAGCACATGCCAAGAGAACAAGGAGGAATCTTACACATTTGTACATCAAGTAATAGGCAAATAGATCTCTGTCCCATCTGTCGACCCTGTAGTAGCCCATGAGCCAGTTCCAGCACCCATTGGGCATGGTCTTAGAACACTTAGAGATCAATGACTTGGGCAGTGACTCATAGATAAGAGAGCCTTTGTGGAAGTCCACATTTCAAGAAAAGTACAAGAACTTTGTTGGAGCAAAATATAAAACACTTGGTTTTATGTCCACAAAAATTTGTAAATTAAAGTTCATTACAGTGTTATTCATAAGAGCTAAAAGGTATAACCAAACCAAATCTTCATCAGCTGATAAAAGATAAACAAAATGTGGTATATACATAAAATGAAATCTTATTTAGCAAAAAAAAGAATGAAAAATTGGTACATGCTACAACACGTATGGATCTCAAAACCATTATGCAAAGTGAAAAAACTATAAAAAGATATATTGTACAAATCTATTTCATTAAATGTACAGAAAAGGCAAATTTATAGAGATAGAAAGTAGATTAGCGATTTTCTAAGAATGAAGGTGGGGACAGGGATTGATTGTAAATGAGCGTGAGGGATTATTTGCTGTGTGAAATATTTCTAAAAATTGGACTGTGGTAATGGCTGCACAACCTTGTACATTTAATAAAAATCATTGAAATTGTTAAAATCATATACCAATTGGAGGCTGGACTTGAAAATTCCCTAACAGACACAACCATTTAAGCCACTTAAGCAAAACTAAATCTAGCTTATTTTATTAATGTAAGCAACATTTAATTTATATTATTTCTTGTAAATGCCTCTGACAATTATTTAAAAAAAAACTTATCATCTTCCTAACAATAGTGTGAGATCATCACTTTTAACCAGTTCTCTGTTGTACGCAAGCCCCAATTTTAAGAGCCAAATCATTGTAAAGAATAACAGCTTCCTCATTTTTCATTTACAAGCCATCCTGTAAATTCATACCCCTGAGGTTCATATCAC